TAAGTGAGAAAAGGATGCTGGCTGTCATACTCTATCCCTTTCCAGGCATTTATAGTATAGCCAGCAACACCAAACAGTTACTATTCATGATGCAGTACTATGTGGCATTGAGAAGGAGTTGCTGCATAGGTATATGTAGGTATGTGATCTCTCTGGCCAAACCTTTAGATTTTTTCTGTGATTCTGAGAGGAGAAAATCGGGATTTCTTACTCCTCCTTTGTATAACTCTTATTCACAGTCCTTCTCTTCCCTCAGCAGGGCAGCGTATCCATATTCCTTTCTTCGTTCTTTTTATGCTCAATGACATAAAAAATTGAAGCAGAGAATAAAGACCAGTTCTCTGCATTTACATTATCATTTTGGTTTGCAGCAGTAAAACAGTTTTGAACTCCTGCTTCTATCATGCTAAATTATTCGGTTATGTAGATACAGCTATTGAATCTTAAGTACCTTTCTATAAAGATACCAAAATAAGCACGGTCAGCGTGGCCTCACATTCACTCGTACCATGTCAGTGTTGGTACTTAGTAACCACTGACTTTAAAAAATCCATTACAAACATTTTCTTTTGGCTGTGGCCTGAGAATATCGATTTCAAAACTAAAAAGTTTTAAATCAGATGGTTGTTGCATGAGGACTTCCCACAAAAAAATGATCTCACTTTTAGGACTATGTGATCAATTTCACTTGAAACGTTCCTGATTATTATAGCTGGCAGCACGTATCCTAGCAAAGCTAATCAATAAGCACTAACACACAGATTGATGCCATCCTCTGTCAGGCAGTTAGGATATAATGTGTTTGCAGAACAGGGTCCTGGGAGTAAAAAATAAAAGAAAAATGTATTATTTTATTGACTGTGCTCTTATGACCTGTTCCCTATACATTTTCACTCCATCTGTCACAAGGCAGCTGGGTTAACCATATATGCCTGTGAAGCACTCCATGTCATAATAACAATTCTGCACTGAACTATAATTTGACTTAATAAAATATTAATATCAGAAGCTTGCAAGCTAATCAGATTTAATTCTGGTATTTACAGAAATGTTCAAGGATACTTTTTCAACAAGTGCTAGCCACAAGCCAGATTGAAATGTCTTTAGTCGTTGCAGTGGCAAATGTGTTCAATTATAGAGTTTTTTGAAACGGAAAAAGAATTTGTTTTCTTTACCATTCTCATGCTTCAAAGAGATAAAATCATTTCTACTGAAATTGAAAACAAATGAACCTCTAGACAAGCTGCTTTTATTATTAGTGGAAACTACCTGGAAAAAATGAGAGATTTACCTTAGCTTCTACCTCCGTCTGCATACAATAAGTTCCAGTGGGGAAAATACAGTTTGCAGGCAGCCTCTCCTCTGGCACTAGCAGCCGTTAATACACTGTATGTCCTAATGGCTCTTGATTAATTCAGGCAAAGGAGGTCAGCTCTGACCCCTATCAGAAATGCATATGGTATTCTCCTCTGTATCAATCTGAATTACAAGAAAAGTATTTTCGGGTAGATAGTACAGAAATTAAATTGAAGAAGAGTGTAAGTACTGAAGACTTCAGCATGTTTCTGAGAAACGAATGGAACACTTGCTTAGAGATAAGACTGAGCTTGAGATCTGGAATGAATAATATAAAAAAGACTGTGAGGAAACTCACTGAAACCATCTGATGGGCCAATGAGAACTTGTCATGTTAAGACAGAAGGGTGCTGACAATGGACATTTATGTGGACATTTTAGGCACAACAGGTTATTACCCAAACTACCCAAAGAAAAGAGATCTGGAACAGAAATCCGTGGCCCAATCTAGAACAGTATTCAAGAAGAGTTAGTGCTAAGATGAGGGTAACCGAGAAAAAGAACAATCTTCTCAGAACTTACGACTAGTACAGAAACAACAGTTGTTCCTGTGTGTGATCTTGTTTTTAGAGCAGAGACACTGTATAAAAAAATTACATATTTGCAGTCCTGAGAAGGTTAAGGACGTCTGTCATCTATAGCAAGCATACAAGCTAAGCTAATAAAATGAAATGTGTTGATAGCACCAAAAAAAAAAAAAAAAAAAAAAAAAAAAAAAAAGACTTCTGAAGAAAAAACAGGTTTATCTGAGTTGTCCAAGGAAATGCTCTACTTATTCAATACACCGTGTACTCATCCTAGAGAACTATTCTAATTGTGTAGACGCAGATTTACACTAGCAGATAGGGGTACTAGGAGAACTGGGTAAGTAGCTGTGCATACTAATACTGTTTCTCCCAGACATACTAGATTGGACATATTAAAGACTGTAAATACACATGACATTTGTATTTCAGCCCGTAATCCTTAATCCCTATTATTTTCAGTCTGACAGGCTAATGCAAAATTGGATTCATCATCTCTGAACCACTGTTTGCCTACTTCAGGTATTACTTTTATTATGAAAATAAGATTTAGAATTCTTGCAGCTTTTGATGACAAAAAAAGAAGTGATTGGGATTTGCAGAACAATGAAGGGACAAGTAAAGCTGAAGAAATATACACTCTTAGCAAAATCAGCTGTTACCTTATTATGAATATGTTGCATGCATCTATCTCATACCAGTTAATGGTTGCAGACATTTCTATGCAATTTTTCTGTGGTCATATGCAGCTTTGACTAGAAATAAATTGATAGAACCTTCTCAGTGTTCCAGAGCAGAGGAAATAAGATGCCTCATATTGCTTGTTTGTGCTAGAAAGTCTATTAAAAGGCCATAACTGCAGCAAGTACTGACTGTATCCCAAGATGTAATGGGTGACAAATCAAACAAACCAGGTCATAGCCTAGCCAGACATTAACGATTTTTGGGAGCTTTGGGACACTGCTAGTTGCCAAAAATTTGACATCGGGTGCTGTCTGTTTGTGCATATCCTCCCTGCCTCCAGTTGTAGGATGTTTCCTAATGGATACTTTAGGCATTCTTGTTCTTCTAAAAATCAACTAATTTTACTGAGTTCTTCTTTATTTTGCCTCTTGCCTGGACTTAAAAAACTGTTATGCCCATTGTTACTCAGTGCTAACTCAAAGCATGGATTCAGCAATTTCAGTTTGGTGTCACTGTGTACTCTTTTCTTATTCGTTCTCCTATCTTTGAAGTCTGACTTCCATTATAAGAAACATTTTCATATTACAGAGCTGTTGAATCATCGGGAAAAGAATAAGATTGTTTTTTATTATTATTATTTCTAGGTCATGTTAAAATGTAGCAGTCACAAGTAACATTTTGGCATAAGTAAAGTACTACTTTACTTCCCATTTAAATCCTCACCTTCATAAACCAAAGATTCCCTAGCTTACTGAATAGGAATTTTGCTTTTTACAGCTTACTGTCTTTATTTGCAGTAATTTACATTATTTCTTTTACAACTGTTATCTTATACTAGATAAAGCAAATCTGTTCTCCTTAATATAAGGAAAGGTGGACAGTGTAAAGAGAATTACAGAATCACAGAATCACCAAGGCTGGAAAAGACCTTCAAGGTCACTCAGTCCAACCATCCACCTATCACCAATAGCACTCACTAAACCATGTCGCTCAGCACAAAGTCCAAACATTCCTTAATACCTCCAGGGTCAGTGACTGCACCACCTCCCTGGGCAGCCCATTCCAGTGCCTGACCACTCTTTCAGAAAAGCAGTATTTCCTAATGTCCAGCCCGAATCTCCCCTGGCACAGCTTGAAGCCATTCCCTCTAGTTCTACCACTAGTTACATGAGACAAGAGTCCGACCCCCTGCTCACTACAACCTCCCTTCATGTAGTTACAGAGAGCAATGAGGTCTCCCCTCCTCTTCTCCAGGCTGAACATTCCCAGCTCCTCCAGCCTCTCCTCACAAGGCCTGTGCTCCAGACCCCTCACCAACTTTGTTGCCCTTCTTTGAACACGTTCCAGGGCCTCAGTGTCTTTCTTGCAGCGAGGGGCCCAGAACTGGACACAGTACTCGAGGTGCGGCCTCACCAGAGCTGAGTACAGGGGAACAATCACCTCTCTGCTCCTGCTGGCAACACTGCTTCTGATGCAAGCCAGGATGCCATTGGCCTTCTTGGCCACCTGGGCACACTGTCGGCTCATGTTCAGCCGAGCATCAATCCATACTCCCAGGTCCATTTCCTCTACAGTCTTCCAGCCACACCGCCCCAAGCCTGTAGCGTCGCCTGGGGTTGTTGTGGCCGAAGTGCAGGGCCTGGCATTTGGCCTTGTTGAAACTCATCCCTTTGGCTTCAGCCCAGCTCTCCAGCCTGATCCTTCTATCCAGAAGACCACATCAACCAGTATAAAACAAGATTGAACTGGAATGGCTGGCTTGTATTTCTAATTTACTGTGCTTGCAGGAGTGGGAATCTACCGAAGACAGAGGGAAAACATGATTAATGTTTTCCCATTAATACGATTCTGCTTAATATGTAGGTGACTAATTTTCTAAATGGGAAGCAAATACCGGATCTGTTGAAATCAGTGGGAGGTTAGATCCTGAAATATCCTCGTGCATCTGGCACTTAAGGATATATTTATACAGTGCAAGTTCTACCTATATCCAAGTACCTTGTCAGTAGAGGAATGTTTCAGATCACCTATGTAAGGTGCCAGAGCTAGACAAGTGACAAGCGATATAAAACATTAGGCATGAGAGTTTATATGGAATTTAGACACCTGATCCATGAATACTTTTCTACTACATTATACCGATAGGACATTAATTTTAAGAGGACTTGGTTACTTATTTCTTTTCTCATAAAGCAGAGGTCATTGCATTAACTTGAGTAGCTGAAGGAGAACCAGAGGGGCAAATAGGTTCTAGGCCACTACTGAACTGAATCAACAGTCCCAGTAACAAAGCTCTAGACATTATGAACCCGTAAACAGCTTTGAAGACGTCAGTGTAATAAGACTGTTCTGGAGAGGGAAGCTGTGAAGTCCCTAAAACTCAAATAAAACAGGTGATTCACTGCAGGATGAGTCAATTCAGACTTGAGAAAGTAATCAAAACTAGCAATTCTAATACTGTTTCTGATCATACAGGGATGATGAAAATTCTTGAAGTATATCTGTGGAACCATTAGAGGTGAGTAGCAGAAACTTCTTATGCTGTAAGGTTTTAGTCAACATTCCAATTATTCATAATTTATTTGCCCTCTCATTTATATTATATTTGGAACATAAATTAGTAGCTATAAGGACTCAAAATCGGTTCTAAAACACAGAGGAACTCTTCTTAGACTAGATATCTTTAATCAGATGTTTTGGTACGTACAGGTAAAACAGTACAAAATTGTTATAAAAAATAAATGGAGATTCTTTCCCACTTCTCCGTGAATGTTGAAATTTCTGTTTTCAGCTTTTTATGCATAATCTATGGGAAATAAATGATGTGTCAGTACTCAAATCTGCCAAGAGAATGCTGATATATCATGTGTTTCACTCTCAATTATCCATGGGCTGTTTATCCAGGTTGCAGATTAACTCTGTGAGACAATAGAGCTGGCTCTCTGCACAGCTGGTTGGTTTTGGCTTGTGTCAGTGCAGGTGCAGTAGAAGCATTTCATCAGCTTTCATCTAACACAGACCCCACACCAATAATGCTTGTAAATGTGACCTGGCTGCATGCAGACTTGCTGTGGATGTATCTCTTATTCCTTCTACCTTCTGTGCAGTGCCAGTTCCCATCTGAGTGGCTTGGGTCAAATTTGGCTTTGTAGCTCCCATTTAGAGTTGATACTACTGGAACAATGGTAGTTTTGGAAAAGTTGTGTAGCTTCAGATTCTGACAGAATCTGTCAATTTGAACTCAGTACAGTGATGATATTCAGAGCAAATTTGGTGTGGTGCTGTGCCTGAGTTAAGAATCTTCCCCAGCTCAGCAGAACTGGAGAGGGGAGCACAAAAGTAGGTAGTCTGTACAGGTCTGGCCCTGAGCCCCATCAGTATGCCTTTTCTTATCACATGTCCAGGTTACATGATCTGGGATGAGCCCAGTCCCTGCTTCTGTGACTCTATGTACAGAAGGATTTTACAGGCTTAACGGAGCTACAGAACAAAGTCCTTATTTAATGCAAAATGCTAGAGCCACCATATAAACTAGCACGAGCCATTTCAGCTTTCATGAGACAGAGCCTACTTGGCTACTTCTCATTTTTCATTGCTTTCTCTTGTTTTTCTGGTTGCATAAGCCAAATAATAAATTTAAGTTAGCTTTATCAGCAAAACCGTCAATTACGTCTGTGTTCCAGTAAACCAGTCAGCTAAAATAAGCTTCTTACTCCTGAGCCTTCTGTCCTCTCTTCAATCAGGGAATATGGGACAGATGTACTGTAGGGGTCATAGACGGCCCATTGGCACTGTCCATGAGGAATACTCATAGCTGTATAGCTGCTGCTACCATCATGTGGGATAAGTATATTCTCTCTTTCTTTCTCTAGCAGGTGGCTGTTTCTGGCTCTCCATTTTCATGCTCATACAGTAGTTCTTTCTACTTCATTTTAAATCAAAGACTCAGTAAAAGCCAGGCTGAGTCTTGAAGTTTCTGCCTTTTAAAATGGACCCTTTCAGTCCTTCTGCAGCTCTATAACAGGCTGGTGCCACAGTGTGCTATGAGCAGAGCTGCTGGAGTGGATACATGGAGGATTTTGTTTGGAGGAAAGACTAAGACAACTGCATGTTTCTGCAGAGCTGTGCACAGAGCTGGAGAAATTGCAAAGATCCTTTTTTGTTTTCAATTTCATTTGAGGAAAATTGCAAGGAAAATGTAACAACTAGAATCACAGGAAATTATCTCATATTCTATTCCTATTTTGGAGAGAGAATGAGAGCTCCAATCTTCCACTTTTTTAAACAAGATATAGTTACCAGGAATCTTCCTTTCAGACACACTACATTCCTACTGACTTTCTGATAATTACCCAAGAGAGTGGCTCATTCTGGCTGCTAATTCTCTTTACTGCTCCCCTTCTCTCTCCACTCTTTCCCCCACAGCAAGTTTGTCCACAAGGAAGATGATCAGGCCCAGTCTGCCCAGATCTGGACTCCTTAGGGAATAAGCAACAATCTAACTTATTCCCCAGCATCAGTCAAATGCCCTCAGTCCACAACTGGAAGATTGCACTTTTGTTTGTTGAGTCACTTAATCAATTTATGTAACTGAAACTGTTGATAGCTGACACAGTAAAAGAGATGAGCATGCCCGCATAGGGAACTTCCCAACCATGACAATCTACTCTTTGACGGGGAATGTGGGTCACAGCATCGCACATTAGGACTACTGAGCCTAAATCTCCTGTAAACCTGACACCTGTTACAAATCCTCCAAATGGGAGGAAAACTGACTGAAACGTAAAAGCGTAGGACTCAGGATCTAGTCAAACTACTGTGCTTCAAAGAGCTTACTGTGATGAACTGAGCTGCGGTAACTGAGTGCAGCAGAAGCAGCACGACTTCACCTGACATCTTCCCAGTGGAGGCCAACAGTTTGTGCACCAGCAGGGCCACAGAAACCCCATCAGGAGTAACTCCATGCAATTATTACTTAGTTTTCAATTGACGTTATGGTTCAGATTCCTCTCTTTTTGAAGTGAAAAAATGAGTCTCTTGGCAGACGACATCTGACATGAAGAGGAGAAGACAAGAAAGGCCCGCTTGTCTTTTGTGAGCTGGTCTGAAGTTCCAGTCTGAGAAACTGTTTGTGCTTTCAGGACTGACTGTTTTTCATCAAAAACTGTTGGAGATTTGAAGAGTTATAAATAGCTCCTACTTCATTAGCTGAGATCTCAGACTTCCAGCACAGGTGCAGGGATTTCTACAGGGATGAGAGAGAAAAGATCACTCTCTGTGGAACTGCTGTGTCCTTGACAGTCCGAAAAATCACAAATGGCTTTTTCTTGTTGCTGAATGGAATATAACGCTTACATGCTTCCTTGGTTTATTCTTGATTTTGAAATAATTTGGATGGAAGATACTTTTAAATTGGTAATGTGAAAATATGTGAGGATCAGCACCCAAAAACTGAGAAAAATGGATTCATGAGAAGTACACTACCTGATCAGAATATTAGTAACCTCCATCCCTTGTATGATATATCTGAGAAAAAAAAACAGCAAACATTTTTTAAAAAAGTTATTTCTGTCATGAACATCTGTTACCAGTCAAGCAAATGGTAACAACAGTAAGCAGCCTTTCTTTCATCCTGTGCAGAGGTTCATCATTACACATCTCCAAGTTCAAAATGAAGGTCAGACTGCAAAGAGTCCTACAGCAAATACTGTGAAAAATTCAAGGTGAAAGCTCTGAGCTTTTCTCCCAGGTATCATTCTGATCTGTATCTTGGAGAGATATCACCTTCATAGTTCAAACAGGAAAAGTTAGCATAGCAACAACAGTATAACAGCATCTAGGCAATTATTTTAATAAAGAAGAGAGCAGTAAGAAGAGTCTAGCTAATGGCAGAAGAAGAGGAAGTCTGCATAGTCAAGGTACATTGGAATCTTGAGAATCTGAACTTTGTTTTCTTTGCCTGAACTGAAAATTTTAAACTCTATTGAAGCCTATCAGAATTCAATATGCTGTTAAAAATAAGTCAGTGATTGAAATGAAAATCTTAGGCAAGTGAAATGCTTCGACTAACAATATGACATGAAGATTTGGAGACCAAAAGTAGGTCAAGATTCATAGCACCAAGTAGGCTGAAATCCTTACAGCAGTATGATGTAGTTCAGCACTGTAGCTGTATCAAATTTTCACAGCTGTATCCAGATGCTTTGAAATATCAACATACCACTTGTTGCAATGTTGCCTTCCCTAATTTGTAAATTGATATGGATTTTTTCCTTTCATTGTAGTCAGAAAGCTAAGCAAAAGAAATCAATTTTACACGTTGTTCTGGTGTGGTTGGAGATGGAGTATTTCTTGAACATCCTTGCTCTCATTCTCTAAAAGTATATAAAAACAAGATATCTAGAGATAGCCATAGAGCAATAGAGATTCTGGAAGGTGAGGCTGTTTGACTGGATATGTGAAGAAATGCAGATTTTAAACATAAGGTGTGAAAGAACTAAAACAATATTGCAGTGATGAATGACAGAGCAAGCAAATATTTAGGTTGAATGAACTTATTTTACTGTGGTGGTACAGTAAACTTAATTTAAACTTAGACTTGTCTTCTACCTCTTCAAAATACTTCAACACTTAGAAAATTCATTAAGAAAGAACTGGGAAGTTGCAGTATCAGTTCTGTAAATGCTGTCGGAATTCACTGACCATTAACTCACATGTTTGTGAGAAATTAAAAACGGAAAGGAATTTGAGAGGATACTTTCACTCTGGTGCTTTTGGATAGTTACATAACAATTCAAATCAATTCAAATACGCTGTAAAAACAGATATGATTTATTTCGCCAATATAAACCTCAGGCTCTATTTCTAAGCTCAGTGGAATTTTTCTTATTTGAGCTTGTGGTTCTGAAACACAGATGATCAGTATTTTACACAGTACTCAATGTGATGAAGTTTTTGCTATGACATTAAGACTTCTATTTTTTTACTGGAAATACTTCCTGTTTTATGTCTTAGGTTCTTTGCTCTATATTAACAACTCAGAGACCTCATCTGCTTAGATATCTAGCTTCATTTCATCCCACACTTTTTGGTGTTGTTCTGTAACTGTACCATTTGGAAGCATGAACTTCTGTATAACTGCTATTATGATATCTTCAAGGTCATGAGATACTGTGTAATAGCATATTATTCTATAATGCAAATGCTTTCCAATTTTGCATCACTAAGAGATTCCTAGAAAAAGGCACTTATGCTTTTCTGTTCTTGAACTCCTATCAGTCATTCTACCTCACTTGGCATTCTGAACTACAGTCATTAATGAAAACTGAGAAAATGATAGCTTATTTAGTTTTCAGAGAAACTGAGACTGCCATTGTTGAGTGACTTTTTTTTCCCGGAGTTTTTCACATAGATGGCTAAAAAAATCCTACTCCTTTTATTTTCTTGTCCTCTGCCAGGCCTTGTTCTCATTTTACCCCTAGGTTTCCAGTGACTGAAGGCAATTTTATCCTCATTCCCTTTCCTGCCAGTACAATTCTGCATTCCCTGTGGACTCTATTCTTCCTTCTAATTTTTCCCTAAGATAGCACCTGCTATCTTAGGATATTCTTTTGTTTCCTGATTTTGTCATGCTTTTAAAAAATTTCCTAGTGACTTGGAAACTTCAGTGACTATCTTCTAAGTGACTGAACGTATTCTTCAACCAGGAGACTCAACTACATATAGCTACATTCCCAGCTCTCAAATTGCAGCTTCATTTCATGAGTAGGGCCATGTCAACTGTCCCAGCAAGGACTGTCCCAGATAATCAGTTAATTCTTCTGGTACTTTTTGGAGGTCTCTTTAACCTTACAGTCTCCTCTAACTTTTATATTAAATGCATCCTGACAAGTAACACATTTTCTACTGGGTTTACTCAGGTGATAAGTCTACAGTTTCTTACCCAGGACTCTTGGGTAACAAAATTCTTCCTCTACAGTAGGCTATCAAAAATCTTCTGTCATTAATTTTCTTCCTTCTTTCTAAGAGTCATATCTCCTTCTCAACATCTTGAAATCCATTTATTTTTCCCTTGTCCTCTCAGTCCTGACTTCTCTCAGTGAAATTTTTCTTTTCTTCACAGCCATCTTGGTTTTTTTTACTCATTTTATATTGCAGCAACTCAGTGTCACAGACCCTCTTACTTCAGCCCTATCTCTCTCTGACCTCATGGTGATGTTATCCTCTTCCTTTTTGACTGTTCTTCAGATTTTATCCAATTTGCAAACCTGAAGTTGTTTGTGGTTCTGACTGTCTTCCTTAATACACTCAAACTTGCACCTACACTGTGTTGATCACTGCATGCACTCTAGCACTCTGGTCTTCTCCAGCATTAGAGTTGACAATGCACAAACTGACAGACCGCAAAGTTTTGATAATATAGGCAATATAGGACAATATAAACACTGAAACCTCCACGTCTAGTAATCTTGATCGTCTTGGCAAATCTTAAGGTTTTACTCACTAAAGGCTCAGCAACCACTGCAATTTTCTTACACGTTCCAAGCTTTAAAGAAAAAAAGATAATTCTTCTGTTTAAGCCTCGCCTCCGTGCTCCAGACTTCATGCCTTTATATGCTTTGTCCAGGTCAATGCTGTCAGCTCGCTGAGACTTAGCAGTTAGTTATTTTTCAGCTGTGATCAGTCAAAAGCAGGAAGCAATCTTAACACCATTAGCTGCAGCACCTCAGTCTTACAAAACAAAGTTGTGATTCGAGAAGCTGGGAATATTCCAAAAAAAAAAAAGAACCAAAAGCTTTGAGAGTGTTACCTGAAAGGGAGAGAAAACAGTGACAGGATAAAAAGCTAAACATTCTGGAATGTTCTACTAAATTAAACATACATGTTTAAAAAAGCATAAGACAGATTTATTTGAACTGAACAATATTTCACAAATCAGTGAGATAATTTGACTGTGCTGGGCTAATTTTTTTTTTTTGGCACAAGGTTTGTTTGTATTAAGATCTTTTTTCTTTCATTTAAGCTAGTAAATTTGAAGTTCCAGTTTCCACAATCTTTTTTTAATGGTGGTTCAATATTTTATTTAGTTGAAAATGGAACCTTTGGTTAGGTTGTAACAATTACTGCTTGTCTTAGGTAAACAAACACACAATTACTTTTTTGTTAAGACATAATTACTTTGCATACCAATGTCACCTGCCCCATTGCCAAATTCCAAATCTCTTATTACTTTACCATTTTTCAGCCATGGTTGATACCAAAAGAGCACTGGGTGTTCTCCTACTGAGCAATTACTTGGATCAGTTCCATTATTCTAATTCCTTTTATGCCCTAATTCCCTAATCCCCTCTTTTATAGTGTCCTGACAACCTGCATTTCCTTTGGCAAAGGGAAGGAAAGAAATCTCCATATACTTACCTCAGATTTGATTTTTTTCAGAGCAGAACTCTTCTCTGCTTTTCCCAGAGGTGACCATCAGCTTGCCTTCAACCTTCCTGTTATATCGAAGGCCATTAATTAACTTCAGTGTCAACCTTAAATATTGTATGTGGACGCATACACTTTCCTAAAACACAGGGGAATTTCTAGTTTTAACTCAAACTGAAAAACAGGGAACTTCACTGTTCCTTTCAAAACCCTCCTGAAATGTTTTGGTGTAGATTTAATTTTTATCTTCAGCAAAACATCAGGTTTGAATGACTGAAAATGAAACTGCCAGTTTTTTATGTATATCTCTCTCAGTTTGCCTACATCTAGTACAAAAAACTTGTTATTTTTTTTTGGTTGTAGGGACAGAAATATTTCTTCTTCCTTTCTCCCAAGAATTATGCTGTCTATAGTTGATGACAAATAGAATTATGGGATTATAGAGTCCTTCAGAGGAGTGATATGATTGCAACAAATGCCCTGAATGAAGAGTCAAATCGTGAACTGGGCCATTCCTGCTTGGTCTTAGGAAGAGACAGTAACATTACTGTTTTGTGGGAAATTTACTTTGAGTCTTAGTAGGCCTTGGGCAAAGTCCTCAGCTGGGTACAGCATGAGAGTTCATTAACTTACATTAAACTATCCCAGTTTATGCAACTGGAAGAATCAGTCCATTATACTTTCTTTCAAACAGCTTAATATCACTGAAGTACATTTCTGGCATTTCCAAAACATTATGTGGAGGGAGGACAAGAAGTATCAAAGCTAAAGCATCTTATTTGATTTATTTGATTTAATCACTTTCTTCTTTTTTTTTAATATGCCCTTTAGTAGTACTTCCAGCAAGAGATAAGAGTAATGGGAACACGGAATTACCAGCTGTTGCAATCAAGACAAGATACAAAAAGATGCTGCAGATTTCTCCATTCATTTACATCTGAAGATATGATCCATTGCCCAAGCATGGCAGCTGCAAAGGGGTATAATCATACTTTTGGCTCTAAATTCAAATGATCATGATGAGCTTATGGCAGTCCTACTGTATTCACATGTTGAAGTGGGCATACAGGTAGGAAATGCATTTCAGAAGAATAGCTATCTTCTGGGTGTTCTACAGATCCAAAGAAGACAAAGGGGTAGGCACTGCTGCAGAGTAAAAACGTGGCAGAGTTGCAAGGTGCACTGCTCCTTCAGCAGCACATTCATGAAGTCATGTTCACTCTCCACAGCTTCTTTCAAGGGAGGTTTCTTTCTTTCTTTCAAGGAAGCCTTCAGTAATTACTGAATCCTACAGAAGTAGTTTTTATCTCACTGATGCCAGAAGGTGCAATTTTAGCTAGTATGATTATAGCTCAGGAAGAAAAGGCCAGGCTCAGTCCAAAATAAGTCAGAGGAGTTATGTCTACTGTCATCTAAATGGATTTGGCCTCAGATATTCAAAGAAAGTATTACATGAAAAACCAGAGAAGATCATATGTTTATTACGTATGGCTTCCATTATATATTCCATTATATATGTAGTATGCATATTTTCTTTAGGTACTCTTATACACAAGCTGTGGATGCTCAATTTTTGGCTGTATATCTACTTGGAAATGTCCCATACTGTTTGATAAGACCCAGATGGCAACCAGATGGCTCCATGTAACTCTTAGGAAGTGCTGCTGCAGACTGAGAGTAAGAAACTGAAGTAAGTCTACAAACAACTCCCTCTCTTTCTCGTGACTTCTATTAATAAAGAGTGAAGATTACCACACTGTATTCCATTGTTAAATAATGATAGGACATTTAGGGGTTTGCAGATAATTTTACCACTTCATGAATAACAAAATCACTCTGATCAAGAGTCTAAGCATTTTCTTATGTTGACTTGTTGGCCTATTTGGTATACTATGCACTGTCTAATTGGAGACAGTCATAAACTTGAAATTGATACCAAAATCCAGAAATATGGAAATATTCCAAGACTTTTGGAATATAGCAAATTCTGCTACTGTTGCCCTCTTTCTAAGAGCTCTTCCCTTGACCATTCGGAGAAAGGTATGCTCACTTGCACTAACCAACTAACAGAAGATACATAGGCAAATAACATACAGGCAAACCCATCTTTTGGTAGTCTTGGCTCTGACACCAATGACTACGTCTCAAGAGAATTTCTGAATAAATGCTTATCCCAAATACAGTGATGCAAACAGAGAAATAACTTAGTTGCCCTTTGTTAATAACATCCCTTCCAAAACCAAGAATTACAAAAGAATTGTAATATTTGTTCTACAGTACTTTTCCAGACATGATCTGTTTACAATAAGAAAGAGAAGTTATGGGACGGTGATGATTCACACGATCACGGTATTTTCCAGTCACATGCAAAGGTAATGATTAAACTGCTTCTTCCAGTCACACATCAGGAAGTCATAGTAGAATTTGAGCCATTTTTTTTTCATTTCTCAACTCCATTAGCTTCCCATGCACTTCTGTAAGTCACCACACTCTTCTCTTAACAGGAAAAAATTCTTATTAGGCAGAAGGGCTAAAAGATGATTTAGCATAACCTATAATACCAGACATCTTTCTCCCTCTCTCACTCGCTGTTTTAGTTTGCAGTCAAAGAAAATATGTTGATGGGAAGATTTAGAGATTTAAATAAGGGCTGGAAGATTTAAACATTGCTATTCTAATATTGCTACAGTGCCATGAAAAGTTAATGTACCCTGGTTTCTAGATCTGTGGAAATGTTGTGTGCTTACAGGAATTTCTTTAGGGAAGTTCTTTGAAGAAATGTGTTTGGCTCTAGGTGGGTTACATTTTCTCATCCTACTAGTGCTTCCTAATGTTGGTCACTAAGTTACTGAGAAGTTTTTGTTTTACCTTAGTTTAGAACCTATAATGCATCCATCAACTACCACCTCTGCATTATAAAATACAGCAAACTACCTTCATGGTGATACCTGACACAAACATTTCAAAATCATTTGAGTGAAGCTTATTGGAATCAAAATGTATTGTTCTGTGAGAAGTAAATTAAATAATTTTCAGCTCTACAAAGGATACATTATATTGGTTTGTAATTAAACACATCAGACATCTATTAAGGAGAAAAACAATCACACGGGATAATGAATGTGCATTGATAGGGGAATGTATGTGTGTATATGCACAAAGGAAATTCAGGACAGAGGCAAAAGGATAGAAGGGAAATGTCTGTGGTGGCTAACAGATTTAAATGCAGGAAAGTACTGCCATTCAGAATGAGAATCGTTTTCTTTTAAATATCAAAACTGTTTTCATGAGAGAAGACCCCAACACAAATGCATTCACAGAAGCCTAAATCATTTAGTTGAATGCTAATGTTTTTATGATTTGGTATTTTGAAACTGTCTAATCTGTTAATGAACTCCTGTCTAAAGGTTCCTTTCTTCACTTCACTCTACTATACAGTGTCAATATTCCATGTTTTAATGGTTTTTGCCCTGCCTTGAATATTTTTTCTCTGAGTGTTTCTCATTACTAACCATTCTGAATTTTAATTTTTATGTAGTTTAAGCTGCTCGTACTTATTAAGAATGTAATAAAATCAGTAATAGGGAAGATCCAAAATAGCTTTGGGAAGTCCCTTCAGAAGAGTTTGTTTTCTGCTTTCATACTGCCATCTTCAGTGTAAGTATTAAAACTACAGTTACTACATATCCTTACATCACGACTTTGTTTTCTTCCAATAAAATATTCTTTTACATACTCGAAAGTGGGTTTTAAATACTGCCAATTTAAAATAGTTGAACTTTACAAACAAGGAGGCACGTACATGAAGGAGAAGCAGGTTATCTGTGCTGACTGTTCTGTACACCGCAGCGTCATGTTGAACAAACAGCTGTACATTAATATGTTTCATTGCCTTGTCATATATATTGTCTAGAAAAAGTATTTTCATTTTCATCAAAGTCCAGAAAATACTTGAAGCAGGAATTCTTCGTTTGTTGCCTTCTCCATCATGAAGATTTATTTGTAGATCTTTGATTTCTATGATGAGAGGTTTCTAGTTTGTAAACACAGAAAAATTATTCCCCTATATTTTTACATAAGTAGAGTATGCCGTGTTCTTTTTTTGCCACTGTGTTCCAGGAGTAAGGATCTGCCTCATGTTACACAGCTTCCACTTTCAAAGTTGACTATTGATTTAGAAACTAACATAACCTGATTCTCAGAAAGTTTTGAGCTACTTGGTCCCCCATCAGGCTACCTTTGGGGCATTCACAGACTGCTGGCTGAGGTGGCCGAGGTGCTGTGATTTAATAAATTACTGGTGATGAGCTGAACCATACTGCTCATGCAGCAAGTTGAAATAGCTGATCTTGTAGTAATAAGGACTCAATTATGATAGCATGATAATGGGCAGGTCATTAGTATCTGTCTAAAAGGATAAAGCTTTGCAGTTCTTGTTTATCAAAGCTGTATTTCATGATATATCTATCACCTGAAATACACGAGTCAATGTATTCAGAGATTACCACCTGGAAAATATGAAAAAGGACTATTTTCTGTAGGGCTGCACTGAGTTAACAAGTGCAAATCAAGAAGCAGCATTCATGAACAGACAGTCCCTTGGAAGAAATAAAGAAACAAATAAACAAAAAAAGAAGAAAAAACAACAGAAAAAGAAATCTAAATCTTTGATGTTTGCACGACGAGCATAGTACTGAATCTTTGTTTAGTTGTGATTAAGAGCAATTTAGCTGTATTAAGAACAATAAAAGTTTGTGTGCAAGGAAAAGCCACATTCTAAAATTAAAAAGATTGAGAGATTAAATCTTGTAAGTTCCCCAATTATCTCAGTCAAATATAATGACAGCTATTGGAGAATGATTGTAATTTTTGTGGTCATTCTGTCTTTCTAATAATATAATATATGTGCAGATCTCATTTTTTTAATCAGGTTTCCTTCTTCGCTTACGTGATTCATGGATTGACCATGTGGAACTCAAATTATATTCTTGCTTGTTTATTTTACTTGTGATTGTGCTTAAGACAGGCAGAAAATTCTAACTGAACATTAAGTATATAATCAAACAAATCCCCTGACTGAGTGGGCAGGAATGGCAGATGGGTTATGGCATTGGGAAGTTCCTTCTCAGCTCAAAGAGAAGAAAAAAAAAGAAAGATTTGCTAACAGACAGACAGCAAGGAACGTTCCAAAAGCTTCCCAAAAGATTAACCATTGTTGTACTAAAAATATCTGATGTCAGATTTCTGGGGATGGGTCAAATATAGGCATATTTCATTGCTTCTTGTAGTCTATGGTATGCAATGAAATGATTCTTGGCATTAATCACCTTTTCAAACTTACTTTTTCTTCCCTTTAAATGCCTATTTGAAAATAAACTTACTTTCTCAAAAGCACATATTTGAACAAGTTGCTTTACATCCTCACATGTTAACTGAAGTATGTGATGAATTAGTCAATAGTTGACAGTAGCCTTTGGGAAACAAATGTTTGCTCAACAGTTTGCTTGTGGAACATATTACATCTAGATTCCATTCTTCCTGACATTTGAGTGGTGGGCTGAAAAGTACAACATCTATTCCTGGACGTGCTTTGAACTGGACAGACATGGGCACAGTTGATAGGAAGCTGTTATTCTTCACGTAACCTGTGGAAAGGTAGGAGGTAAATCTATGCTAGAGAAGTGTGCTCTGTAAATAAATAATTTTGTATCACTTAAACTTGCTTTTACCTTGTAAATTGGCAAAAGAAGTGGCCTGTCCAGTTTTTAAAGTCATAGTAATTATATCATTGAATATAAATGAGTACCATAACATCTTAAGGATTATGCAACTGCAGGATTGTCATCAAAAATTCCTTTAATTAAAGATAACCACACCTAAAGAAAACATATTATGAAGTTATGAATATTACTATTAAACTGTAGAAAATTGTGTGTACATTTATAACTACACCAAAGACAGCTCAACTTCAGCTGCCTAGATAAAGTGGCTGTTTTCAAGCACTACACTTGCACTGTTCCAGCTGCTTAACAACTGTAAAAATCTGGTCAACCTTGTTAAGATTTATGTAGTATGAATCATCAAACAGTCACAACTTTTTAAAACCAGCCCATGTTTGCTGAGATTATATCCCTCACTCCCTCCCTTTCTATCTTTTGTTTACTGCAGTCTCTGGCTGCCACTGATAATTATTGCCTTATTGCTTAACTGGTGTCTCTATCCATCTTTTTCCTATTTAGATTGTAAGTTTGGGGGGTAAGAATCATCTTTATGTTCTGTCTTCATACAATATCTAATACAAAGCAGGCCATTATCTGTCTCTGCTATATACTTGAATAAGACACTGCTCTTGCCCAACTAAGAAAAAAAATAGTTTACCCATTTACCTTCAAAAATAAAGAAAAAGAAATATTGGAATAATTACATCAATAATTTGCAGGAGCTATTCTCACAGTCTTACACAGACTGTGTTGAGCTTCAGCAGTTGTGCTTTAAAGGGCAGAAATCAAACACTGATAGTATTCCATTACAGATACTCAATTTGACAGAAACTAAGGCATGCTGGAGAGAATCCAAAAGGGACAAGATTTAAATGTTTAGAACTTGAAAGGAAGTGGAATAGTTAAATCTAAGAAAAAGAGACCCAACAGAGTGCATATAATGACCTTCCAGGATGTAAAACAGTAGAGAAGATGACAGGAACAGTAAGGAATTCATTTTTGCAGAAGTTGGCACAATGGTCCAACTAAGATGATAAAACACTGGAGCTTCAGTGTGCTATGAAATCTCCACTGGAGTGTCTCATACAAACTTCCCAAATATCTGGCAAATATCCCACCTCCCTCAGGTCAGCATCTGACCAAAATGATCTCTAACTGCTTATCCCTATGTATTTCAGTGACAGCCAAGAGGGTACACTGAACTTCCAGTAATTTTTAGACTATTAGATCTGCAACTATTACACTCTTTCTACTACATTTAACACTTTTAGTTTGCACAAAAGGATATGTTGTCCATATATAAATAACTACAGCTCCTTAGGGAGTATAGGGGAGATGAAAATCAAGAAAAAGCTTAAGGATGTATATTTAAATTATATATTGTTTTTCAGCATGTGCAGCAGATTCAAACGAGGACATAAAGGTCAAATCAGTGAATGATCAAGAGAAGGCAGCAACCTGTAGTAAGAGTGATGGTAACGTTCCCACCTACTGAGAGCTGTTAAACAACAAGATTATGATCTAACTTACAAGAAAACATTTGGGCTATGTGGGACCACATAAAGTCCTAGATCTTCACTGATGCTGACCTGACAAAATAGTGTTACACAAATTCTTTTACAGTATGTTACCCCCATGGAAAGACAGACTAGGAAGGTTTGGAAAAGGTGGTCACATTAATATGTATTGGGAATTTATTTAAAACTCTGATCTGAAATATTCTGAATCACCTTGTTCTGTACTATACATTTTAAAGGGCAAAAAGAAACCCAACAACAGTAGAGTAAGAGACAAAGTAAAAAAGGAAAATGGAGCTACCAAAAATTACAACACTAATGAGCAGCAACAGTGCATCTAAATCTCCTCCACATTCAAAGAACAGGAGGACAATTCTATATAGGCCTCCAGTGAATATGCTCCTGCACAATAAACTTTCATAAATATTCAAATGACAATTCTCTGCAGGAAACAGGAATAGTTTGTAGTGAAAATGTAGGCTGTCATGCTCTGCACTGCATGCACTTTATTTATGTGTTCTTAAGTTTATACATAAATAATTTAAAAAACATCTTTCTAGTTAAAATAAGTGTAAAATTTTCTGTGAAGGTAGTTAAATTACAAGTTTTCTACTTTCCTAATATTCTGACAAATAAGTTCACTGGCAGGTCTGAAAAAGGAACAACAGTTGTGAAATATTTAATATGAGAGGGAGCAGTTAAACATGAACACTCATTACAAAGGCTTACCCGATGTCGAAAAGATTTGATTTTTATATCTATGCAAAACTGAGCAACATTATTTCAATTTCAAAATGGATTCAGGGCTTGGCATGCTACTGTGCTGTGCTGCAGAGACCACTTGATGGTAGTGTTGTGCAGCAGCATCGGAAGCGCAGCCGGGGAGCAGGCAGCCAGGTCTCGTTCTCTGCAGCTAGGACAGTGAGTGTGAATGCAAGCAGCCTCAGTGTTCTACAGCTTGTGGCTGCCCACTAGCTAATAAATTGACAAGAAAAACGAAGTATAACCAAACCGTACTCTATGCCCTTCTCGTTGGAACCAGAACAACCGAGGTTCAGTTTGAAGTCATTTAAACAAATCTGTACTGGTTGCAAGATCATACCCAGTGAGGGATGGTCAGTGACTCAACGTCCAGATGGAGATCAGTGACAAATGGTGTCCCCCAGCAACCAATACTCTTTAATATCTTCATCAATGACATCAACAGTGGGATTGAGTGTATCCTCAGCAAGTTTGCTGATGACACCAGAGGGACAGAAGCCCAGAGGGACTTAGACAGGCTTGAGCAATGGGCCTAGAAAACCTCATGAGGTTCAACAAATAGAAGTGCAAGCTCTTGCACCTGGGTCAAAGCAACCTCCACTATTAGTACAAGCCAGGGCACAAAAGGATTGAGCACAACTCTGCTGGAAAGGACTTGCGGGTACTAGCAGATGGCAAGCTGGACATGAGCCAGCAATGTGCCCTTGCAGCCTAGAAGGCCAACCATATCCTGAGCTGCATGACCAGATTGAGCAAAGTGAACCCGCCCCTCTACTCTGTCCAGATGTGGAGTCCTCAGTACAGGAGAGACATGGACCTGTTGGAGCGTGTCCAGAGAAGGACCACAAAATGATCCATGAAATGGAACAACTCTCCTATGGGGACAGGCTGAGAGACCTGGGGCTGTTCAGACCTGGAGAAGAGAAGGCTCCAAGAGACCTGAGAGCAGTCTTTCAGTATCTAAAGGAAGGCTGTGCAAAAGAAAGGGACAGATACTTTAGCAGTGTCTGTTGTGATATGACAAGGGGAAATGGTTTCAAATTGAAAAAGGGGAGATTTAGATTGGATATAAGAAACAAGTTTTTTTACAATAAAGGCAGTGAAGCACTGGAACAGGCTGCCCAGAGAGATGGTGGCCACCCCGTTGCTGGAGTCATTTACGGTCAGGCTGGAGGGAGCTCTGAGCAACCTGATCTTGCTGTAGGTGTCCATTCATTGGAGAAGAATCAAACTAGACGACCTTTAAAGGTCCCTTCCAGCTCAAATTATTATGTAATTCTGTGATTCTGTACTGAACATGAGAAATACATTTATGCAATGTCTTCTAGCTTTCCAAAGTGAGCAAAATGTTTCAGACTCCTCACAAAACAATCCAAGCTGAAAATAAGCTAGGGGTTATTACTGACTGCTTTTCACATTGCCAGAGATGCACAATCTACCTTTGGCCTACCTTCTCTTTTTCTGTGGTTAATATTGCGTTGAAATGGTTGCTGGGATAAGAAGAGCAACCTGGCAGAACAAGAAATCATTGCAGTCTTACCACTAATGCCACACTGGGATAAATTGGCCAGGCCTGAACATGCTACTGCAACTAAAATGTGCAAAGTAGCATGAACTACCATTTAAAGTGAAATAGGCTACTTTCTCTCTACACTGGGACACTAACATACCCTCAAAGCGTTGGGCCCACTGAGACAAAATCACTTCAGTTTTTCAGTGTGTAGATTGCTCTAATGCTGGCAGGGCTGCTGTAAGAAGCCTGGAGGCCTTGAGCATTGTATGAACAGCTACGCACAGACTTTCATCAGGAGCAGGACGTAGTATTCAGGCAATCCCAGGTAGCTGGACATGGTTTCAAATTATGACAACTGCCTTAGACCTGAGAGTTTCAGATATTACAGTGCTGTGGTAGCTTGTGCTCAAAAATATGCAGTTTTTAAGAGCTGCGGAAATCCTGTAAAATCTCATGGGAAATTCCTACAATTCTGTCTTCCATGCTGCTGATAAGATCCATCACCTTTCTAAGCCACTTACATCCTCTTTTTTTTTTTTTTTTTTTTTTTTTTTTTTTTTTTTTGGACAGTGATGAGTGAACATACAGGCATCCAACCAGCCAGCAGTGATGCTGTGGATAACATCTACCAGCCGTTCTTGTGTAGTAAATCCATTCAGCACACACAAATTACCACATGAGAGTCTGTACGTCTAATTGAATGGTTCTCTACCTCCTCCTAGTGGATGCAACACTGCAGACTGCTGCTGAAATGAGC